AAAAGATGGGTGAATGTCTCGATCTCAAAGGTACCGGTCTCAGCACAACAATGGCAGCGGGAGGGGAAGGAGAACCCTCTCGCCTGTATCACAGAGACACTTTTATTAAATTAAATTAGACACTTTTATTAATTTAATTTTATATGTCTTTCTCATATTTTTGTTGGTATAAATATTACACTTAATATGTGTAAAGGTTAAGTGTGTACATGTTCTTACCATCAATGATTATTACTCTTTTTAGTTAAACAAATATTTAAATTTAATTAGAATAAATGCATATTTTTGTAATAATTATACAACTTTGTTTATCTGACGTGAACTTATTTATTCGATTAAGAAATATTTTTATTATTGTTTATATTTTTATTATATTTTAAATCACTTTAATAATTATTTAAAGTATTACTTATTTTTATTTCTTAACTAATTATAAATTCAACATATGTCCTTATAAGTAATTTTACATGTTAACAGCTGATTAAAAATAGCTAATTTATCAAACACTCTCTTACAAACCGCTAAAATAATTAGTTGGTCAAAACAACAAATACAATCCGCTTGTCAAAGTAGCTAATGCAATCCGCTAACAGCTAACAACTAACCGCTGATTACCAAACAAGGCCATTATATTTTTCTTGCAGATTATATCGCATAGCACTATAGCATTTCGAAATATATGTGTACCATAAAAGGCTGAAAAAAACATAAAAAAATAGTAAAAATACTCCTTCATTTTGAGTACAACAATTCCTTTACCGGGTGATACCGCGATCCAAGGGCATTCTTTAGAGCAGCTCCGATGTTGCTTATGTTAGAAACTTTGTGTCAAAATACACGGAAATCCTACGAACTGAAGTGTATTTTTCAGTTCTTACAAATAATCTAAAAATAGAAAAGTACAACTGAACTTAAAAATTAAATTGCAACTGAAAAACGAAAAGATTAAAGTCGAGGCGAGTAAACTCTTTCCGCAAGAAGAATACACCCCGTGTGGCAGCTAATGGTTCTGGCGTAACTTCCCCAAAGATACAACGACAAATGTCTCTAAATCTGTAGCACACCAGATTTACGAGTTCCGGCGAACTGGAATGGAGTCGAGAATTGAGCACTTAAAAATAAAAGTAGTATCATAAAACAAATAAAAATATCACTTGTTCCTTATTTTTTGGTATTTTTATATCCGATATTTGGACATATATCTTTCTTTTCTTTCCTTTCTTTTTCTATTTATTTCCTTTTTTTTCTCTGTTCTGAGCTTTATGTGTGTTCTTTTTCTTTGCAAGAGAGGTGATACATATAGCAAATGGGCAATATGGTTGTTGGAAAGTAGAGAAAATTTGTTTGAGTGGTTTAACAAATTAATATGGTAGTTGTGGTGGTTGATCAAATGAATGGAGGTTGAACAAATTAATACTACACTCACATTGACTGACAATCCCCCACATGAGTGTAAATTTCATACTAGTGTGCTCAATCCTCACAAAACTCTATTGCATCAGAAAAGCTAGTTTGTGGCTTTGAACATTTCTTAGTGAACATCATCGGATGTACTGGCGGCCTAGTGGACATAATGCTTTGAACTATTCCTCCATAGTGTACACCCAGATAATGACATTCACAGAATAAAGTCTTAACTCCATTCCGTTCTATCGTTGTGTCCGCTTTGGCCATGACAACACTTTGGATTCATAAGTGGTTACATTTGAAGTGGCCCACACTTGACACTTATATAGGTGACCTCCCTATCAAGAGTATCATATATTACTCCACCTTACAAGGTTAGGGATTCATTAAATGTCCATATGACTTACCCTCACTACAATCAACAGGTAATCTTGCACTTGGAGTGCTCTAGGGAGTAGCTTTAGACATTCATATGTTCCATGTGCTCAACTGAATTTTCATAGCTTAGTTTTCTCTTTGAACCAAATTCGTGGGATCTCTACTCAACATGGTAGGGTTACCACTATGATCATTCTTTACATTGTGGATTTTTAAGCCCCTTCCCTCTAGCAAACTTTCCAATTGATCTTTATTCAATCTTTTCGTCAAAGGATCAGCCAAATTTTCCTTAGACATCACATAGTCAATAAAAATAATACCATTTGTGATCAATTGATGTACGGTATTATGTCTACGACGAATATGTCTAGACTGTTATACGAGTTGCTTTGCGCCCTTCCTATAGCAGCTTGGTTATCACAGTAAATCATCACAGGCGGCAAAGTCTTATTCCAACATGGAATATCAAATAAAAAACTTCTAAGCCACCCGGCTTCTTCACCAGCTTTATCGAAAGTGATGAACTCTGATTCCATCATTGAGCGAGCTATACATGTTTGTTTTGTGGATTTCCACGAATTACACCTCCAATACAGAAAACATATCCACTAGTGGAGCGAGAATCTCTCGAATCTGAAATCCAGCTTGCATCATAGTACCCTTTAAGTACGACTGGATATCTCGAGTATTTTAGCCCATATTTAAGGGTGTACCTCAAGTACTTAAGTACCATTCTCAAAGCATTCCAGAGCTCATGACTGGGATTGCTCGTAAATCTGCTCAACTTATTCACCGGATAGGCCAAGTCTGGTCGTGTACAATTCGTCAAGTACATCAGACTCTCTATTATCCGTGAATATTCCAACTGAGCCACTTGTTGCCCTTTATTGACTACCAGATTTATACTGAGATCAGGGATGTCTTACACCTAGGCTGTGCACCGTCATAGGTATAAAATTTCTTGAGCACTTTCTCTACATAATGAGATTGTGACAAGACAATTCCATCTTTGGTTCTGATAATCCTTATTCCAAGAATAACATCAGCCAAACCCATATCTTTCATGTCGAAATTTCTCTTCAACACTCTTTTCGTATCCATGATCACTTCATGGCTACTCTCCGTGATCAACATATCATCTACATGTAGACATACAATCACAAATGTATTTGATGTACTCTTGACATAAACACATTTATCACATTCGTTGATTTTGAAATAATTTAACAACATCACGTCATCAAATTTCAAATGTCATTGTTTCAGAGATTGTTTCAGTCCGTACAAGGATTTGATTAATCTACACACTTTTTTCTCTTGTCCAGGTGCAACAAACTCTTCAGGTTGTTCCATGTATATTTTTTCTTCCAATTCACCATTCAAAAATGTCGTTTTGACATCCATTTGGTGAATCTCAAGATTCTGCAAAGCAGCAATCGAGAGAAGCACTCTTATAGATGCTAAACGCTTAGATGAATAAATATAAAAGAAATCATATCATTCCTTTTGTTTAAAGCCTTTGACCACCAATCGTGCTTTAAACTTATCAATCGATCTATCAGCTTTATATTTTCTCTTTAGGATCCACTTACATCCTAAAGGTTTATAACCATCAGAGAGATCAACCAACTCCCTAGTATGATTTTGCATAATGGACTCAATTTCGCTACCTGCTTTTTTCCAGAGTGGTCCATCTGGGCTGGACAGAGCTTCCTTAAGAGAACTCGGTTCATCATCCAACGTGTACGTAATAAAATCATGTCCAAATGTTTTAGCCGTTTTTACCCTTTTACTACGTCTCGGTTCTTCATTAGTACCTTTTGGTACAGAACCACTAGCAGTTTCATATGTTCGTTTACTAGAACTAGATTTTGCCATTTCCTTCAGAGGAAAAATATTTTCAAAGAATATAGCATTACTCGACTCAATTGTGGTAGCCACAGATATCTCTGGATTTTCTGA